GCTTCTTAGATCTGTAGAAAATATTTCAGTAGAATATTTAACCAAGTACATGCAAACTTCCTTTTATGTGCTAAATATGCTGCTTAGTTCCACAATGTAAATTACTTTTCACTATATTCAAAATTGGCTTCCAAAATACAGGTTCAATTAAGAAGCTTTAGGATGCAGCGGATACTTTGGGTACTAAAAAAATATGGTGATTTTGTTTCTTGTGGTCAGTTTTACAAAACGGTTGTGCCCAATATGTGCATCAAAAACACTGATATGTTGAATAAAAACATGGTTGACGTGTTGAATCCTGATTTTCCCACTATATTTCTAGGGAAAATCTAACTTTCCTCACTTTTTTTAAATTAAAGAGTTTGATGTAGTGCATAAACCCTGTTATAGGTTCAAATCATGCAGTTCATTCCCCACTCTGTACAGTCCATGTATGAAAACAGCCCATATTCATTGCACATATATCTGCCTATTCAGCCTATAGCAGTTTAGCCCCACCCATTCGGCCTACAGCAGTTTAGCCCCACCCATTCATGCTGAAGTTATAAAGAATGTTTCAGCCCACTACTTTTTGAATGAGGCACAATACAGGGCAGCCAATCAGTACAGAGGCTGTTTACAGCTGTTTTCAAAAGTATAAACACCCCTAGTCGAATGAAATGATTCACTATGTGAAAATTACACACGCTCTCCAGGAATCAAACATAAATAAGGCATTTTTTCCTAAATATTTTAGTGCACAATTTCTATTTATTTGCCAAGCTTAACATATTGAACAAAAGTTAAACATAACATTTTAAGTTTAATTTCTTTCCCCAAAATGTTAAATTCAGCATATAAACTGTAATTGTCCATCACAATTTGCAGACGTCTCTGTAGAGGATGTGTTAACATATTTTTATTTTCAAATTAACTAAACATAATTTGACTAGGGGCCCCCACATTTTCCACATGACTGCACGTTTATCAGTAAAAAAGGGCCTGTTTATTTCTAAGGGATACAAGGAGGTTGTAAAATGGTCATGTAACACGAATTAGGACTGCTTTTGGTATATAAAGCAACACAAACAACACAAGTGGACCTCAAGCAAAAAGGTAAAATTCAAGAAAAACATAGGAAACAAGCCTTTAAGTACCAGGATCAGCTCCACTGGCGGGTGCCGACATAGTATCTGTATCAATATAACTCTAGTAGGTACTACAGTGGTTGGAATAGTGTAGTGGGTAACACCTCTGCCTTCTATGCTGGAGACTGGGGCTCAATCCCCTGCCTGGGTAAACACCCTCCACTACTCCAATAAGAGTCCTTGGGCAAGACTCCTAACACTCCCTGTGTAAAATGATCAAATTGTAAGTCACTCTGAATAAGAACGTCTGCCAAATGCCGTAAATGTACAGACAGTGGCCAATCAGAGAAAGAGAAGATCAGTCTCTTCACCAGCACACTTTATCCAAGCCAGGGTGTTTTTAATAGAACCGATACATTTTGCCCCAGCTTTTTTGGGAAGGTATGGCTCCATCCTAGTCCAGTCTTGTTGCTTCTCATTTGATCTTAAACCGATTCCTGTATGTGGCTGAGCGTCCTCTGACAATGCAGCAGGACGACCAAACTGCAGCTCCTCTAATGCAGTTACTGCAGAGTGCCAGTGATCCAATCAAGAGCCCTTTATCTAATGTAGCATCAATCAGTATTTAAACAGACATGGTCAGTTTACTAATGTTTAACAGGGGGTGTGGGACCACTGTTCCTGTTTAATGGACGCTTCCATTGGCCTACTGTTTGTTTCCTGGCGGCTAATCAGTTGCAGTTACACTACTGTGTCACGACTGCACACTCTTGCTGCCTTCAGTCTTCAAATGGCACTCTGCTCAGGAAGTCGCTGAACTGAGCTGAAATTAAACCCTCAGCAAACACTTTCCTCGATAGAAACATTTGTTTTTGTGGGAAGCAAATGTGCACAGTAATATTTCAGAGCAGCCCAGCAGTGATTCTCTCCAGATACTCTGGAGATATGATGAAAGGCTTATTGAAAAATTCATTTGTTCTGGCTTTGACATTTACCAAGCCAGACTAAATTTAATTAGGTGCTATTAAGACCTCATAATATTTAAGGCCCTCCTGCCAACATTTGTCTTAATAAGCCGCAGAGTATGGCTGAGTAATTGGACGGCATAAGGAAGCCGAGGCAAGCGGGGTTGGACAGCTCCATTGTCTTGTATGAGGGTGGCAATTACGAGAAGGCACAGGAATAATCAACCCCCACACTTCCTTTGTATCTCCAGAGATGTGCGCAGCAACACTCCTCTCTCACGGTTTAGCGTGCTGTAGCAGGGCGTTTTCAGAGAGGAAAGGCTCGGCCTTGTGAAAGGAGAAGAATGCAGTGGGCGCATAATAAAAATCCTCTTCTCGGAAATCAATGGATAATAAAAAAAAAGCTTCTGACTCTTTTTTTGATCTGTTTAAACTTTTTATTTTCAGCATGGAGCAAAACATCCAGTTGAGAAAAAGTAAAAAATCTTCTTTTTAATTTTTTCTTAAGTGGATCTTTTGCTTTATACTTTCAGTAATATTTAAGCATCAAACTACAACCCATGCTTTCAGTTAAGTACAGTTTATCTGCAGTTTTTCCAACCCTGCATAGGGCCCTTCCTATGTATTGAGGACTTGAGGTGCATTATGAACCAAAACACAGACAAAACTTTATAAGATAAGCCGAACAATTAGGATTTTAAAACTGCACTATGAAAGTTTCTGTTGGTAACATTTTTAAAAAGTAGCATTACTGAGTCAGGAGGAATAAAACACACTTGTTTTATTGAGTACTCTTTAGTGTCACTGTTGCGAGACACCCTGAAAAAGCCTGGAATAAGAATTAAAAAGTCAGAGACATGAGGTCACATTTCCTGGAAAGTTTTATGACCATTTCATACATCTTTACATATTAACGTCACATGCACAGTTTCAAAAAGAAGGTCCAGCTCGATGTTTACATTAGCATTAAACTGATGAAGAGATGATGATATTAGTAGATGATTCACTTCCATCCTCAGAAGACACGTCCTTCACCAAGCTTTTACTGAGCTCTCTTTAAATTCTCTTTCAACACACTCACAATCATCCAGTTCATCCACTCGGGTTAGAAAATGTTCTTCTGCATGTTATGTGCAGTTACACATTTCCACCAGAGAGGTCTCCAAATCCCAAAACATACATAGTGTAGCTTTAAATGAGAGGCTGCATTTTTTTATTTTAGCTAAATCTGTTGATTTCTATGGACTATATCGTCAGCTGCCTTGCTAATCTGTGCTGTAGTGCATCTTTAACCTGTAAATGGACAGAACCTGTGGCAGGTCAAGGCTTTCATTCCTGTAACTCAAGAGTCTGAGTCAAATCTCGAATCTCAGAGGTGTGAGTCATGAGTCAAATCTCAACATCATTTGCATATTTCAGTGCATACATGTAGTTAAAATTCATACTTGCAAAAAATGGGACACTTTCCCCCTAAATTTTTAAACTAGACCACCTTTAAAAAAGACCATTTGGCTAGAGACCCCCAGGTCATTTGAGTCTGAGACCCCTGCTCTAAGTATTTAAATGAAATCTGTTTGCATTAATAATAAAAATGGATGTGTGTTGTTTGGTGTATATTTAGTTGACTTTACATGGTGATTATGAATACGTTTTAGAGATGAAGGACAGAGAATAACGTCACCATCATTTTCTTCCAAAAAAGTTACACTGCAAAGCTGGACTAAGATTCTAATATAATAATAATTAATCATATTTTAGGCTGTGTTTTATTCAATTCATTAAAATCCAGGGATACTAAGCCTTATTATTTAGTAACTACACAGACTCAAATCTAGTTCAGTGAGTTAAGGGTTCAAGTACTTTTTTTTCCAGAAACAATGTTTTTTTTTTATCAGAAAGTACTTAAAATTCTTTTATTCCAGCTAACAGATTTGTTGAAAACCAGTCTACTTAAGGATAAAGCGTTTTATGTTGCTTTTGACACGTAAAGGAATAAAACAAAGTATTTTAAACTGAGTAACACAGGTTAATGTGATATTTAATGCATCACTTTTAGAGTAAACCTGCATTAAAAGGTATCAACCAACACTTTGTATAGGCTGGACTGAACAGAAGCTTGGAGTGGGCCATGCAGACCCTTTCCCAGGGTAATGAGAAAGGAAAATGTTGCCACCTATTGGCAGCAGAAACTAAACACATTGCTCCCTCCGATCTGAGCAGTAGTTTGTCTAAATCAGGGGTGTTGAAACTTTTGTGTCAGCTGAACCCCTTCAGTCTAAATAATTTGCCTTGAGGTTTTAAGTAGGTTTAAGTTGAAATGGTTTTGTGGCAAAGTTTGCATGATTCATTTGCAAATGTCTTTCAAGAAAGTTGATTTCACAGACTTAAAACAAGACTTTATTTAGTGCAGGAGTGCACAACTGGTGGTTCCCCTACACACACACACACCCACACACACACACACACACACACACACACACACTAAACCTGGGAATAACAGATGTGTTGAATTAGGTGTGTTTGAGCAGTAAAATTACCAAACTGGAAGCTGGACCCTTCAGAACTGGAGTTGTGCACCACTGATTTAGAGGATTTGTCACAACAGAAATGTTACAAATGTTTATAGTTTACTTTTTGGATCAAAACCTCGTGTCTCCAAAATGGTAACTTTACAGGAGAAGGAAAAAACCTACTTTACTTTTAATGTAAGTCAATGGAACCAGACTTATTTCCAAGTCATTTTGGGTCGTTTCTTTCGGTGCATTCATCATGAAATTTACACACAAAATTAAAGGCAACAGGTATTTTCAAATTATGTCAAAAACTGAAAAAGGGAGGTATGAGGAGATACGAGGTTTTCTTCGGACAGCAGCGACATATTTGAGAGTGACATTCCCATCACAAACCCCTGGTTGGGAAACCCTGGTCTAAATGAACATTACAGCATATTAACAAAGACACTGATGAAAATGGTCAAATTCCAAAATGGTTTATTATATTATATATGGATTATTATTATTCCAAATGTAAATAACAGTGTAAAAATATAACAATTAAATAAGCTGGTGCAAATGAATTGTTTCACACCACATTCTCAGTTATGATGAACAAATAACGAATGAACAAAATAAGGACCGCCAGGCAGCTTATAGGATTTTATCTTACAACCTCAATCTTCAGAATCAGTCAGAGTGATGTTGATATTTAGCTCTTCATGCTTATCAGCCTCTGAACCCACTTGTCTTCTGGATTAGCACACTTCTCTATCTGCTTGGTTGTGTGGAATCTGTGATGTCAGAAAACAATTGCGTGTTATTATAATGCATATCAACTGTATTCATATTTCCAGCTGCCACGATTAGACGGTAAAGGCACTTACATGACTCCTGGCTTGCTGCATGCAGGACTGGTCATCTCAAAATGCTCAACCATTGCCACAGGGATTTTTGTCTTTGTGTAGCTGAAGCAGCACTTCTGTGGCCCGTGACTGTCTGAAAAACAGAATGTAAGGTTTTTATAAACACTTCAGTTCATAAAATGACTCTCTACTCCAGTAATAAACATTCATTTGCAGTTTAGAATCCTAATTACTCTATGAACTGTTTTGTCTGTAACAGCTTTAGAAGTGATATTATCTGAGAAAGATATACACATGTAAACTTACTCTGGCTGAAAGTCACCGAGCAGAAGGCGAAGAGGAGAATGCCGATGGCTGCGATGCTGTATGGCTTCATGTCTGGATCTTCTCGATCTTTAGACGTAACCCTGTGTCCTCCTGTGCAGGTTGTGATTTCCTTACACCCGCGGCCCAAATTTATAACGGACGACCTCACCAGCGGGACTTCACCATCACCACAAAATACATCTGTACGATCTTGTCCATCTGGGAACTGTGACATCACACCGGTTGGGGGAAAGAACCGCGATGTGATTGGGAGGTAGAACTTCCTGTACACCCCTCCCCAACTAAACATTGCTGACTGATGGAAACCACCTTCAAGCTGATCGAGCTGAGCTGAAAGCCAACAGTCACGTGAGATTCTTCAAAAGTGCATTTCCTGGAGATGCATTTGCACCTTTTCTTAGTTTTAAAACCCCTTTATTACACAATTCAGGCAAGAGTGCTCGAAAACACTCGCTTTTCCCCCTAAACTCTGAGTAACAGGGTGAGTGAAGCTCTAAAGCAGAATGTAATCACTTTGGGTAAAATGATGGTGAATACCAAGACAGTCTAAATGTCCAACAGGCTTTAGAAATTAAAAAGAAAAAGGAGCTGAACAGTTTAAAAAACTTGAAAATGATTTTAAAAATGATGCAAAAAAATGCTCAACACAAAGACAAATATTCCCTCGCTGGTGTTTGTACCATCCTTTACATTATTATCACTGAGGCTGCTAAATAACCTTGAGAAACAGTTGATAAGTTCCCCTCACCACTCTGGCTTGGTGAGTAATTTACATTAATGTAGAAATACAATGTTGTGTCTCTTTGCTGGTTGTGGTGCTAAAGGCTCGTGCTAACGTTACCAATGTCCACATGGGCTGTTAGGAAGAATTAAACCTGCTGGACTTTTTCTCCTCATCTTTCTCCTTCAAAAAGAAGTGCAGTGAGTGCTCGTTTTAGCATTAATATTTTGTCTCACTGAGTGTGATGGGTGAGGAGTGATGTGATGTGGAGTTGAACTTCCTGCCCATAAACATTCGCTCTATTCCTTCTCCACTTCGCAAAAGCCGGATTGCTGTCCAAATGCAGCCTGCAGTAACACTGACATGGTGGTGGTGTGTTAGTGTGTGTTGTGCTGGTACGAGTGGATCAGAAACAGCAGTGCTGAGAATGACCCACCACCCAAATAATACCTGCTCTGTGGGGGTCCATGGGGGTCCTGACCACTGAAGAACAGGGTAAAAGTGGGCTCACAGAGTATGCAGAGAAACAGATGGACTACAGTCTGTAACTGTAAAACTACAAAATGGACAAAGTGTAGATAAAAGGTGGTGTACTTAAAGTGGCTGATCGGTGTGTCTTATATGTATTTGTGTGTATGTGTGTGTATATATATATATATATATATATATATATATATATATATTTATTTATTTATGTATTACACATACAACTGACTTCCAGCTCCACAGGGAATCCCTGAAAGTACCGTTCCACTGTTCATGTTATTCATCTCATGAAATGAGCTGTTCAGCATCCAAAAATGAAGAATCACAGAGCATCTCTCGAGGTTTTGTGAGGCTGAGAAATCTTGCAGCTTTCCGATGTGTAGTCAGCACTATAGTTGGCTGGCATGTTTGAATTAAAGCTCCAGGAGAACCTGATACACAGTGCTACTGGAAACTTTCCCATCTGTGCAAATGCAGGCTGTATGTTATCATCAGGCAAAGTTTCTGGATGTTCTTATAGGCTTTCCTAGATCTGTGCATGATGCAAGGGTCCTTCACCACAGTACTCTCTACCAGCAGGCAGCATTCTGGTGGTGTGGGATATCCCTTCATCGCACACCCCTCACCCCTCATCACCCCTTTTAAAAAGCCTGTAAGAGGAGAAGAGTGGGTAACCTTCAACAGGCATCATGCAAGAGCACGTTCTGTAATTGAATACACCTTTGGGTTGCTGAAGACCAGGTGGAGATCCATCTTACTGCATGCCCTCAAAGTACACCCACAGTTTGTGCCACAAGTGATTGCTTCCTGTGTCACCCTGCACAACATCTGCATGGGAGCAGGAGAGCTTGTTCAGCCTGAGGAGGAAGCAGATGGAGAGGAGGAAGAGGATGGGCAGGAGGAAGACGTCACAGAAGAAGTCAGCGGTCATCATCTACGGGAGCAGCTTTGCGTTGCCATCGCTGACATGTACTGATGGTCCAGGAACTGAAAGAGTTTAATTAGTTAATTCACATTTTCAAATGTTATATTAGCATTGAGAAAAGTAATATCTTTGAACGTGACATCTTAAATCTAGTCTGAACATATAATAATTCTAGGTTTGATTGTTGTATAGAATATTATTTACCCTCTAACATTTTTACTCGTTAGGCAATGCGTGGTGGAAGTGTCAATTTTTTGGCACTATGCTAAAATCGCTTAAAACGTAAAAATGTGTGGAGACAAGTTCATTGTTTCTTCTCAATCTGATAATAAGAAAGCTTTAGGATGAAGATATTTTTTTGCAGCGTGTGAAAAAAATGTATGTTGGTACTCATTTTGCTAAATCTCACCCCAACAAGAACTTCATTATAGTTTTTTATCTTATTTAGGAGCTCATATTAAAATATTGTTTTATTATAGGGATTACACTGTAAAACAGTTCCAAGTGATTTGAATGAATGACCTTCATTAAAGGAAAACGTCAAGATACTATAAAATAAAGAACTGACCCTAATGATTGAACAGTGTGTAAGTTTAAATTTGTGAATGGTATAGCATGAAGCGTTCTTAAATACAAGACTGGGTTCTTATGAATAAAGAATAAATGAATTCATCCAAAGAGAAAGTCTGTTATGATATTAGTTTATGCGTTACTGCATTTCAAGATTAACGTTAAAAATTTCTGTAAAAAAAGTAAAATCCAGAATTATTTTTATAAAATAGGCTTTATTTTAAAAATGTGTTTTAGTTAATTTTGCTAATAAGCTTTTCAAGAAGGCCATACAAGTGGTCAGACCGCTCCTGCTCTGCTCGCTCTCTCCTCTCTTCTCTTTCCCTCTCCCTGTCCATGTCCTCTCGAAAGAGGTCGATTAGGGTTCCCTGCCTCTTCCTTTGTCTTTCCTCAGACAACGGTGAAGCCGCAGCAGAAGATGGCCCTGGTTCCGCCTCATCTGACGAGACTATTAGTAGGTGACCAAGAGCCTCGTCCACGAGGCTGAACCAGGGCCAAGTGGCTGCAGTGGCTTCCCCATTGTCTGTCCCACTTCCAGCTAGTGGACATTTCAGCTCCTAAAATAAATACAAACCTGTAATCTAACTTCGCTCTGCTTTGTTTGGCCTAGCTGAATTATACTCAAGAATACTATAACATTTGAATTAGGTTTGAAATACACTCAAATGTTTGAAACAGAGAAATCCTTAGTCTTTCAAATAAAGTACTTCAACTCTGTCTTAGAACTTACCCTGCATTTCATCTTTAGATTGTCCCATTTTTTATGGGCTTGTTGAGGAGTCACTTTCTCCTGTAGCCCCAGTTCCAAAAGGACAGTCCTATCAACAAGCAAACCAAATCAAATTAAGACTTGATAAATGATTCCAACTAAAATTTTAACCGCATTAGGAAGATGCATTACCATACAAGCAAATCACTTACTTTTACATACTGTTAAGTTAAAAATATGCATGACTAACTCCTTGACGTCCAATCGTTTCCAGAAAGAGTCAATGTGGCTGCAGGATTTCATGATTATCTGTTTGCCCTGATTACGGGGAATCAGGTGAGCTCCTACATGTTTGCAGTGAAAACCTGCAGCTATAGCCGCCCTTTGCGGATAAGATTGGACACCCCTGATCTAAATGGTGGACAACACCCTAACTTTCTTACTTACAATGCTCTCTTGAAATTCAGCCAAAATAAGATCCCTCAGTAGGCATCATATGTGAGGTATTTGAGAATTGGGACAGGCCAGGAACGTGCATATTAAGATGTGAAATGCTGTCTATGTAGAGAGCTCACTAGGTTTTGAGACACATGTTTTATATGCAGTTTTTCCAACCCAAGAATTTATAAGATAAGCCCAACAATTAGGATAAAAAGTACTTACAATTCTTTGTGTCTAAGCTTTTGTTCCAGCCAACAGGTAGCATACATTCTTAAAACAGATTTGTTGAAAATCAATCTACTTAAGGGCAACATAGTTTGTGTTGCTTTTAACATAAAATGTGTTAAAACAGAAAGGACTACAAAGTGTTTTAAACTTTAACTAAGTAAGTAACACAGGTTAGTGTGATATTAATGCATCACTTTTTAGAGTAAACCTGCATTAAAAGGTATCAACCAAGACTTTGTTTAGGCTGGTGGACTGGACTGAACAGAAGCTTGGAGTGGGCCATGCAGACCCTTTCCCAGGGTAATGAGAAAGGAATGTTGCCACCTATTGGCAGCAGAAACTAAACACATTGCTCCCTCCGATCTGAGCAGTAGTTTGTCTAAATCAGGGGTGTTGAACCTTTTGTGTCAGCTGAACCCCTTCAGTCTAAATAATTTGCCTTTAGGTTTTAAGTAGGTTTATGTTAAAATAAAGTTGAAATGGTTTTGTGGCAAAGTTTATATGATTCATTTGCAAATGTCTTTTCAAGAAAGCTGATTTCACAGACTTAAAACAAGACTTTATTTAGTGTAGGTGTGCACAACTGTACAGTGTGGTGGTTCCCCTACACACACACACACACACATATACACACACACACACACCCACACATACACATATATACACACACCCACACACACACTCACTAAACCCGGGAATAACAGATGAGTTGAATTAGGTGTGTTTGAGCAGTGAAATCACCAAACTGTGCTGGACCCTTCAGAACTGGAGTTGTGCACCACTGATTTAGAGGATTTGTCACTACAAAATGTTACCAATGTTTATATTTCGCTGTTGTCATTTTCGTATCTCCAAAATAGTAACTTTACAGGTGAAGGAAAAAACCTACTTTACTTTTAATGTAAGTCAATGGAACCAGACTTATTTCCAAGTCATTTTGGACCATTTCTTTTGGTCCATTCATCATGAAATTTACAAACAAAATATTAAAGGCAACAAGTATTTTCAAATTATGTCAAAAACTGAAAAACGAGAAAATGGAGATACGAGGTTTTCTTCCGACAGCAGCGACATATTTGAGAGTGACATTCCCATCACAAACAATTTGCAATGCCACCACGAACCCCTGGTTGGGAAACCTTGGTTTAAATGAACATTACAGCATATTAACAAAGACACTGATGAAAAGGGTCAAATTCCAAAATGGTTTTATTGTTATTATTTCAAATGTAAATAACAATATAAAAATAGAACAATTAAATAAGTATGGAAATTTTACAACGTCATGATATTAATAAAAGCTGGTGCAAATCTATTGTTTTACACCATATAAGAAGGACAGCAGGCTTGACCGCCAGGCAGCTTATAGGATTTTATCTTGCAACCTCAATCTTCAGAATCAGTCAGAGTGATGTTGACATTTAGCTCTTCATGCTTATCAGCCTCTGAACCCACTTGTCTTCTGGATTAGCACACTTCTCTATCTGCTTGGTTGTGTGGAATCTGTGATGTCAGAAAACAATTGCGTGTTATTATAATGCATATCAACTGTATTCATATTTCCAGCTGCCACGATTAGACGGTTAAGGCACTTACATGACTCCTGGCTTGCTGCATGCAGGACTGGTCATCTCAAAATGCTCAACCATTGCCACAGGGATTTTTGTCTTTGTGTAGCTGAAGCAGCACTTCTGTGGCCCGTGACTGTCTGAAAAACAGAATGTAAGGTTTTTATAAACACTTCAGTTCATAAAATGACTCTCTACTCCAGTAATAAACATTCATTTGCAGTTTAGAATCCTAATTACTCTATGAACTGTTTTGTCTGTAACAGCTTTAGAAGTGATATTATCTGAGAAAGATATACACATGTAAACTTACTCTGGCTGAAAGTCACCGAGCAGAAGGCGAAGAGGAGAATGCCGATGGCTGCGATGCTGTATGGCTTCATGTCTGGATCTTCTCGATCTTTAGATGTAACCCTGTGTCCTCCTGTGCAGGCTGTGATTTCCTTACACCCGCGGCCCAAATTTATAACGGACGACCTCACCAGCGGGACTTCACCATCACCACAAAATACATCTGTACGATCTTGTCCATCTGTGAACTGTGACATCACACCGGTTGAGGGAAAGAACCGCGATGTGATTGGGAGGTAGAACTTCCTGTACACCCCTCCCCAACTAAACATTGCTGACTGATGGAAACCACCTTCAAGCTGATCGAGCTGAGCTGAAAGCCAACAGTCACGTGAGATTCTTCAAAAGTGCATTTCCTGAAGATGCATTTGCACCTTTTCTTAGTTTTAAAACCCCTTTATTACACAATTCAGGCAAGAGTGCTCAGAAACACTCGCTTTTCCCCCTAAACTCTAAATAACAGGGTGAGTGAAGCTCTAAAGCAGAATGTAATCACTTTGGGTAAAATGATGGTGAATACCAAGACAGTCTAAATGTCCAACAGGCTTTAGATATTAAAAAGAAAAAGGAGCTGAACAGTTTAAAAAACTTGAAAATGATTTTAAAAATGATGCAAAAAAATGCTCCTTGAGAACCTTGAGAAACAGTTGATAAGTTCCCCTCACCACTCTGGCTTGGTGAGTAATTTACATTAATGTAGAAATGCAGGGTGATTCAAAAAGATTCATCTGATTTCAAAATGATTTATTTCACTTGTAAATCGTTACAGATCAGTGCAGTGAACTGTAAACGGTTTAAATGAGCATAAAGTTTATTATGTAATTGTACAAGGTCTCAGTATGAACCTCCTCCAGCTGTACAGACAACATCAACGCCATAGTCAAACTCATCCCATACTGGATTGAGCGTGTCGGGTGTCGCTGCACTCTCGGCTCTTTCAGTGCGATTTCGGAGATCATCCAGTGTTGTGGAACCAACGCCGAACGCTCTGAGCTGTTGGAGCTTCACTGCCCACGAAAATCACACTGCACAGTTATGACGGATTCACTCTTATTGAAGTGGAGAACGCAGAACGCTTTCTGCTCAGGGGTCTCATCTCCTCTCAGACTGAAGGAGCCATCTTCCACTGACAGTCAGAGACTCTATGACCCCCTCTTTCAATTGGATTGTGATTGGTTCCTCAGCGCCTCACGGTTGTAAAAATATGGTGCTTTGAAATTGGATTAATCTTTTTGAATCACCCTGTATAATTTTGTGTTTCTTTGCTGGTTGTGGTGTTCAAGGCTTGTGCTAATGTTGCAAATGTCCACATGGGCTAATTAGGAAGAATTGAACCTGCTGGACTTTTTCTCCCCTTCTTTCTCCTCCAAAAAGAAGTGCAGTGAGTGCTAGTTTTAATGCTAGTCTTATCAATGGAGTGCGATGGGTGATGTGGAGCTGAACAAAAGCCGGATTTCTCGAAGTTCCAAATGCAGCCTTAGAATCCAAAGAAAGTAATAGGGGTGAGTCAGTGCATATTCTGGAAGGTGCAAATACATCAGAAAAAAAATCCCATCCATGGTTTTAGTTCAGCCATTTGTATGATTTTGCAGCTCCAACATTACATTACAACATCTAACATAGACCGTTATTTACACTTAATGTCATGGTCGTATATATTTAATGAATGCTCAGTAAAGAACATCTGTTTTAAAAAGGTTTAATTAGAAATACTCTTGGATAAATACTTTTACTGTTTTACTAGAAGTACCTCTAGGTGAGGACTGAGTACTTACTTTCATTTTACCCCCAAAAAATTACACAGGACACACACTTACCCAGTCAGTACCTCTTTCTTAGTGCAGTGGTGATTGGATTCATTCTGGAATATCACTGTCATGCACATCTGAGATTTCCTTCCAGCACACCCAAACAAGCCCTTCCCTGAGGTGATGTGTGTATTAGAACAAGGACAATACTACAACGAACAGGGCAGTGATACTCCAGAAGGAGGACTGAGAACCACTGACCTCGTATCCTTACAGTACTTGATTAATACCTAGAGCCTGAGTTCTATGTATGCTTGTTGTTAATGAAGGCATTGCTGAACATATTGCATATGTGTTGTACATCTAGGCTCCAGCTGATTTATGTGAGTGTTGTAACCAGAGATTTCACAATACCACATTTTCCTGTAACTGATATTGAAACCTTGAATGCTGGGCGATGTGTATTCAATATTTTTGTTTCCAACTACAAAGCTGTGTGCTATTTTTTAAGAACCTGTTTAAACTTTGCATTTCCATGTGTTTTCTGTCCAGACGGCACCTGGACAGATTCCATTTACACTTTTCCATAGAATGCATCTCCAATGTGACCAGATGAGATCTGACTTTATTTTTTCCATGATAAAAGCAAAGAAAAAGTCATTTCTGTTGTACTTCTGTTTACTTTTGTCCCTGTTATGATACAAGTCGACAAGTTTGGCTCAGACGCTTTTATTCCCCGAAGTGCATGAAGGCTCTTGGTTTGGGGAACTCCAGCTTTGCGTATCCTCCAACTTTTATTTCATTGTTTATTCTCTCTCCTGCTATTCAGCGCTCAGCAGATGCATTTCTGCTTATGTAACTGTATATGGATGATGAAAATGCAATACGTTTAATCTTGTGTTAAATATGATCAAGATCCATCTCTGACCACCACTGAATGTGGTTTGAGTGATTTGATCAAATTATAATGCGTCCTGGAAGTGTTTACACCTGGCTTTTCATACGATCGAGTGAAATCTGAAAATGGTCCAATCACTGAAAATATGTGTTACAAACAGACGCTGTCATGCTCAAACCTTTTAAACACTACTGTCTCACAGGAGTAAATACACAGGCTGTTCTCACAAGATGTGTTAGAATTTAGTGGTGCATCAGTACCTTTTTTAGACCTTTAAGAGTACATAAAAGTACCAGCACACGTTTTTTTTTTTTCTACTAGCCAGAACTGAGTGACATACTTAGAATGAAGTAACTGTTATTATTGTAAATGAGTGTAATGTACCTTAACAGTTAAATCATTAAAATCTAGTTGATGTTAAATGATATGAACATCAGTTACCTTGAATTGAGTAGCGCTGCAGTGGAGAAGAGCAGGTTTTGTTCCACCTCAGAAAAGGGCTTCCGTCCAGCTGTAAGTAAAGTATGTTTCATAGTTTTGATCCTAATCTGTTTCTTTCAACAACAGTATCTGTAGCACAGTGATAGCAGGAAGCACATCAGCAGCAATGATTTAATGAACTTTTATGAACTTCTTTAGTGATACAATTGAAAAAATTAGGGCAGAAAATTCAGAATGCACAGTTAAAATCTACAAACCTGCTTCCCCATAATGCCAGCCTCAATCTTGAGAATATTATGATCCCTGCAGAGAGGCTGGAATCATTTACCTTACTTCAAGAAAATGATATAGTTAAAATCGTTTCTTCCGCAAAATCATCTACTTGTATGTTAGATCTGATTCCGATTTACTCAATGAAATTTTGCCAGAAATAACCAAGCCTGTTCTCTCGATAATAAACTCCTCTCTTAGCCTTGGATACATCCCAAAATCTGTTAAATTAGCAGTAATTAGACCGCTAACCTCGATCCCTGCGAACTATCAAATTATAGACCCATCTCGAATCTCCCCTTTATATCTAAGATCTTGGAAAAAGTTGTAGCAAAACAATTAAGCTCCTATTTGCATAGGAATCAAATACACAAAAAATTTCAATCTGGTTTTAGGTCACATCATAGTACAGAAACAGCACTAGTAAAAATTGTAAATGATCTATTATTATTTTCTGAGCAAGATCATGTGTCCTTGTTAGTCCTCCTTGATCTTAGTGCAGCATTTGACACAATAGACCGCACTATCTTACTAGACAGACTAGAAAACCTTGTAGGGGTAACAGGAACAGCTCTTTCCTGGTTCAGGTCCTACCTCACTGATCGCTATCAGTTTGTTAATATAAACAGTGAATCATCTGTTCTCACAAAAGTAAAATATGGTGTTCCACAAGGCTCTGTTTTAGGACCTGTATTATTCACTTTATATATGCTACCAATGGGCACCGTTATCAGTAGACACGGCATAAACTTCCACTGCTATGCCGATGACACTCAGTTATATTTAGCAAGTGACCCAGATGATAAAATTAACCTTAGCAAGATTGAAGACTGTATAAAAGACATAAAAGACTGGATGTTGAGTAACTTTCTCCTTCTAAACTCAGATAAAACAGAGGTTCTACTTCTTGGTCCAAAAGCAGCCAGAAACAAACTGTCTAATCTAACACTTAAACTTAACAATTTCTCAGTTGCATCAAGCTCATCTGTAAAAAGCCTTGGTGTCATTATAGACCCTGATCTGTCCTTCGACACACATATAACTAATATTACTAGAACAGCCTTCCTGCATCTCCGCAATATTGCTAAATTGAGAAATGCATTCTCTCTACAGGATGCAGAAAAGTTAGTTCATGCTTTTATTACCTCAAGGCTAGATCACTGTAATGCCCTGCTGGCTGGATGTCCCAGCAAAAGCCTTAACAAGCTTCAGCTGGTCCAGAACGCTGCAGCCAGAGTTCTTACTAGAACCAGAAAGTTTGACCATATCAGCCCAGTTTTATCAACCTTCAACTATCAACACTGGTTACCAGTTAAATTTCGGATTGATTATAAAATTCTCTTACTGACTTACAAAGCACTAAACAGACTCGCCCCTCAGTACCTGAGTGAACGTCTCTCTCACTATGAACCATCACGCCTACTTAGATCACAAGGTGCTGCTCACTATTAGTACCTAGAATTAATAAAGTTATGTCAGGGGGCGGAGCTTCTCATACAAAGCCCCCCAGCTTTGGAATAGTCTTCCTGTATATGTTCGGGACTCAGACACAGCCTCAGTGTTTAAGTCTAGGCTAAAAACTTACTTGTATAGTCGAGCCTTTGGTGATTAGTTTTCCCTGTCAGATCCAGACCTGCCAGAGTCTCTGCTGCTCTGCTAACACTGTAATCTGTGATCAGTCACCCATTACAGAACTGACACCCATTACAGAACTGACTCTCAGTTCTGTCAGTCACTCATTACAGAACTGACTCTCTGTATATTTTTTCTTCCTTTCTTTCCTTTGCCGAGTTGAACAGCTGCCCAT